AAAAAAAAAAAAAAGAACATGCCTTGGCAGCAAATAACATCATTCTTACAAATTATGATATACGGTCCCTTTAAACTTCATTTGCATTTACTTGATTGGCTTCGAGGGAATAAATTCAAATTCTAGGAAGGTTCACCAAAAGGATTTCTCGAGTACATGAACATATATACGTGTGCTTGAGTATACAATCAATAATCGCCGATAAATGGAATCAACTGCTTTCATTTTTCATCATTTTCTGCTCAAAAAGTGTTGGACCAATTATTAAAATAAATAAAAGCAGCTGAAAAGACAAACCTCTGTAGGATATCCCAAATCATTAACCAGCTTTTTAACTGTGCCTTCGTAGGCAAGTGACTCAAATGTCTCTGGCTTGTATTGTGCTAAAGTGTAGTCCATATCGAATCCAACAGCAACTATATTCCTCATGTTTAGAGATCTATTACAGAATATCTTCTTTCCTATATCTATCTTTTGTCCTCCTTCTGGAGATGACCACACATGAAGATGTTTATCAGCCTCAATGCCGGTAGGCCTCTCAAACTGTACAGTCTCTCTATCCATAGTATTGTTGGAGTGAAGTTTATTATTACTAGGCACTGTCCAGAAACAAAATAGAAACTGTAGTTAGAATAGAGGCACACTACTGTTATCCACCCACAACATCGATATCAACACAAACAACAACAAAGCACCAGTGAAGCTGGTGCCAAGTTTATACTGTGAAGAAGATACACTTGGCTCTCTAAACACAGGCCAAGTTTCTAGATTTTCACCATGATAAATCTCAATTACTAACAGCCCAATTGCTGGCGAAAGAGGTATCGTGAAAAAAGATTGAAGAAATACACACTCCAACATAGCTAACATCAACAAATTTCCTCGAGATCATTCACCCATGTTAGCAAACAACAACCCACCATTCACTAGCATTCAAAAACCTCCAAACAAAACGAGGCACACAAAACTGTTTAGAATTCACCCAGATACAAATAAACAAACAAACAAAAGAGGAGCGCAAACTCAAGCTCACCCGAACGAGAACAAACCTGCGCTATGACACACCTTCCTTGCACCCTCGAACCGATCGAAGATCGAAGAACAGAAAAACCGGAAATCGAAACGCGAAATACTCGGAGAAAATCGAGAAGACGAGACAGGGAAAGGGGCGGAGGCGGAGAACGAGGAGACGCAGAGAGAAATCGACCACCCTCTGGCAACGCGCATCTTCACGTTAAATAGACATTTTTTCTCGACGGAGAGACCAATTTCCAGCGCCAACACCGATCGAAAACCGTCAGCAGAACCTGATACCCATTGTCCCTTTTGAACCACCGACGAAAGCATTAATTTTGTACAGATTTTCACCTCACGATTTGTCCTAGATTTCAGGCCCCTTAACCCACCCAATTTTTCTTTTTTTTTTTTTTCTTTTTGTACCTTTTTTACGCGAATATGCGGAGCATTTTCAGGCATCCCATTCCGGTTCTGGATAGAATCTGATTCGACCTCTCGCCACGTGGCGGCGGAGCGTGGTGGTGCAGACGGTGGTGGCGGCAGCGTCGTAAGGGCGGCGCGAGCCGGCTGAGCTTGAGCTGCTGGTGGTTGAGAGGTTTTGGCTCTATTCGGAATTTTTAATTTATTTAATTATTTTCGCTGAGTTGTAACGGAAAAGTTTTGACAGTTGGCGACGGGAGGAGGCGCGTCAGGATTACGCTCGGCGTATTTTAGCACTGGTGAGACGGTCGATTGGGACTGAGGCTTTATTCCCTGCCTCGAAAATGTACTTCAATTTATTTGGTATTATCCAACATAGTTTTTACACCGGCCTCTGGGCATGTCTCGGAGTCATCGGATCATCGAGTCAATTTAATTAATTTTAAAACTTTTAAAATTATACATATAATACTTTTGATATATAAATATACATAAAAGTAACAAAAATAAATATTTTGCATATAAAATTTGTACATCAAAGTGTTAAAAAAATTATATCTCATAATAAAATTTGTACATCAAAGTAGTACTTTTTATATTTACAAAGTTTTTTTATTTTTTATATAAAGGACATTTTAAAAAATAAAAAATATATAATGACCAGGTGGGGTCGAGTTGGCCGAGTTTTACCGGGTTTATTGTTACCCGGTCTAAATACCCTACCCGGGCCGTTCTGGCTCTGGGTCGACCCGTCAGGTCGATTCGGGTTAAAAACGATGTTATCCAACATTGCAAACTTTTATATCTTTTCATATATTTTGACCCGTACTTGTATACGAATAAAACATTACAAAATTATAAGTTAAATAATGAATATTATATTTTATAAAACAGAAAAAATAAAAGTATAATTATAAACTATATATATACAACCACTCTATAGATTGTATAAAATTTAATGTATAATGCAATTTTTTTAAAAAATAATAATAATAAGAGATTACGACCAGTAAATTAGTTTAGAATGATATTAAAATTATTATTCTTAGACGATTCTAAGGGTTCGTTATACCATTAAAAATTCTTCCTATATATAATTTTCGAATGCGCTGAGCCTACGTGACTGCTTCTGGTGCTTCGAAATCTTACTTGACGAAAAATCATGCTTCGTAATTAGGTTTGGACAAATAATATTGATATATTAATAATTAATAATCTAGGTTCGGACATTCTATAAATATTATTTAGCTAACTTAGATATTTTAATATCATTTGTACTAATATAACCCTTTAATTCTTTGTAATTTTACATAGTGAGACACTAAGTGACTAATATATCTCTGACTTTTGATTTATTTTCTTCAATTAGCTACTGAATTGTAAATGTATTTTAAAAGTTGATAACTTTTGTATTTCTTATCGGTATTACATATATAATACATCAAATTAATCATCTTTTAATAATCTTCGTTTTGACATCCACATTGTATATATGAAATAAATAAATTATATTTATCTTTAAAATAATAAAAAATAATAATATTTATTAAAATTCATTAGAAAATAAAATTATTTCTTAAATGATATATTTATGTTTAATGTAGTTATATGTTGTAAGTTAAAAAACTTATTATAATATAACACATGTAGGCACACAAATAAAAAGTGTCATACTAAATATATAATAATATATATATTTTTATAAAAGGCATTTAAAATTTTAACTATTTTTTCTCATTAATTTTAGATTTTAAGAAAAAATTAGCAAGCACCCGTGTAGTACACGGGCATTGTACTAGTATATTAGTATTTTAAAAAATACCTTGAATTAAAAGAGAATATTATTTTTTTTATAATTGTTTAACTTCCATAATATCTTTTATTGTAAAATTTATAATTAATTAATATTGTTAGTAGTTATTATATGATATAATAGTTAAAAAAATATTATTACACTCAATAGATGCAGAATGTAATGATTAATTTTTATAATTAAATGAAAAATAAAGTGAAAGATTTTGGATATAGACATTAATTGAATAAAAGTATAAATTTATTATTCATCCGCCCAAAAAAAAAACTCAATGGCGCATTGAAAACATGTGCACTTTGTAAAATCACACCAATAACTTTTAGTTAGCTACTATTACTAGTTTGTTTATAAGAGTGCATAATTTTTTAGAGTTGATTAGGGTAAAAATTATAGAATCATGTTATAAAATCTAAAATCAAAATTCCCAAAACAAATATATATATATATATATATATATATATATATATATATATATACATATTTATTGTGATTTAATATTGCATTGCATGATCGATTAATGTAAATTAAGAAATAAAAAACAATAATATGTAAAAATATCGAGAAATTGCTAGAAAACAGAAACAAAATTTGCAATTAGTATTTCGCCTAGCTTACACTTGTGTGTGTTTTTTATCCATCACAGCTTTTTGTATGATGCTGCTTAAGATTAGGCGTCCACTCGTCATATATTTATTTTTTTTCTTTTTAAATGTATACTTACGCTATAAAATATCATATTTTTGTTTATTATTTCTTAGAGTAACATTTTCAGTCTAAATAGTAAGACTGCACAACAATTAGTTTGTCCAACATCAACTTATTGTTTGTCTATTTATAGACAACTAGTAGTTTGCCCGTTGTTTAATATTCATATTTATTATCCGCAAGTGTACGATGTAGTTATAGGTATTGGTGAGCAAGCTCATATTCGCAAAATTATAGTTAAAATAATTAAATGTCAAAATAACAATGATAAAATATGACCTAGACTAACCCAATTTTAGATAGGGATTATGAACTGACGAAACAAACTAAAAATTATTTTATCTAATAAATAAAAGGTTAATATAAATTATGGATGAAACAAAATCGAACGATAGTTTTAGGCTAAGTTTTTCTCATAATTAATTTATTAAACCTTTAAATTCATTCAAAATTTTATTTGATTTTACCGATAATCACTCTTTCTCTTAGATAAGTTAAATCGTAGATTAAAACTATTTATATTCTTTCAATTTCAAGTGTCATACTAAATATATAATAATATATATATATATTTATGAAAAATATTTAAATTTTCAACTATTTTTTCTCATTAATTTTAGATTTTAAGAAAAAAAATTAGCAAGCACCCGTGTATTATACACGGGCATTGTACTAGTAATGAAAGTGGTAAGATAATTTTGTATTGGAAGATGATGTTTCGCCAACTAAATGTATTTCAATACTTATACTCATAAATCAGAGTGGCGCAGCGGAAGCGTGGTGGGCCCATAACCCACAGGTCCCAGGATCGAAACCTGGCTCTGATATGAGTGGCTTCCCCTCCTTATTTATTTTTTTTAAGGGTAAATTGCGCCAAACCCCCCTGTATTATACGAAATCTGCGCCTTATCCCCCTGTATTTTAAAAAATGCATCATACCCCCTTGTATTATACTTTTGATTGCGCGTTATCCCCTAAACTCGTATAATACAAGGGGGTATGACGCATTTTTAGGGGATAACGCGCAATCAAAAGTATAATACAAGGGGGTATGACGCATTTTTTAAAATACAGGGGGATAAGACGCAGATTTCGTATAATACAGGGGGGTTTGGCGCAATTTTCCCTTTTTTTTAATACTTTAAATTACTAAACATATTATATAGAAAACAATCTACCTGTAGAGCAACCGGGGATGTAGCTCAAATGGTAGAGCGCTCGCTTTGCATGCGAGAGGCACGGGGTTCGATCCCCCGCATCTCCAAACCTGAACAACAATTTTTTTTATTTTTTAATTTTTTTTTTCCAATTTGGATCATCTAACCTTTAGCAGCTCACCGTTGAGCCCGCACAACCACCACGCTAGCGCCGCTCATCGCTTCCCTAATCGCCTCCTGTAACACCTCCACAATACTCGCCGGACCATTATCCTGTCAATGTCTAAACAATCTCCCGCCGTAGCGCAGCCGTTTTTCTCTCCCGTCACCCGTCATACTTCTCTTCCGATCGCCGCTAGTCTTTGTTTAGTTTATAATTAGTAGTTACTTCCTTTCCCTTTCCCGATGTGATTAGCAGGAGCAAAGGAGTGGCTGAAAGAGAGCAGAAGCTCTTAGCTCCGGTTCAATCAGCCTACATTTTACTGAGTAATTTTGTAACGTTTGTTCTTTCGACTATTCTTTCCTTCTTTTGTTACCTTCCATGTTTATAATTGCTCTAATTGCTACTTTTAATCTGGTGCTGAACTAATCTGTCTGTGTTCAATTTTAGTGAAAAAAGAAGCTGAGTTTGGTAAGAATAATGTGGAAGAATGTTTGTGTTCCTCAGGACATGAATTCATTCGTTGAGTTTCGAGCCGATTCTGGAGTTGAGGTGACAACTGCTAATTTCTAGTGCTTGAGCTTTTTGACTTGTCCAAATAGCAAATGTTTTGGTACTTGAACTAAAAGAATCGGATTGCTCGAATCTCTTCGTTTGGTTTTACGTGATACATTTGGTTTTATTAGTGAAACTTAGAATTGAAATGACGGGAATACGATTCAGAACTGTATAACTCGGTATGATATGTGGAAGCAATCAAACATATAAAAATTATAGATTTACATGACATGTTTATCTGATTTCAAAATCAGAAGTTATATGCAAGTCGAGAAAAAAAAAAAAAAGAAAAAAGGTTTTGCAATGGAAATATGCAAAGCCTGTGATGCAACAGCTGAATCTTCAGGAACAAGATCTAGATTCTATTCAACGGCTGTGTAGTTCTACTTTCTAGTTCACACGATATGTCTTTAATTTTATACTGAATTTGAATCGGTGTCCACATAGCAAAAGCAGCTTGGTGAAGAGGAGGTGAGTGAATGGAGATAAAATGAAGAATTTTATGCTCTAACTTCATTTGCTTATAGTGATTCATAATACTATCTTATAGGTCTGCACGTTCTGGCTGATTGTGAAAAATGCTTCATCGTTCCCTGCCGATGGGGACCCAATCAACTCCGAAGCTGAATCCAAGCCCAATGATCTCATTAGGTATATATATCTCCTTCCGGACAGTTCCGATAATGGCTCTGACTTGCTCTAGCATTTTTATGCTGCTCACGACTTCCTTGGTTACTGTAGATCAGTTGTTTCTCTTAATGGCATGAAAAAGGGAAATAGGTTATCAGCTTACTTCAAACAGGTATACAAAGGTACTGAATGGGATAATTCTGGCCAAGTCTATGAAACTGGGTAAGAGTTCGTAAATGAAACTTATCTTATTTTTTGTAGGAAAAAAAGTGGTGATGCCATTAAAGATACAATATCTTCACTAAATGACTTTGAGCAAGCTATCAATATTGTCTCCGAGTCTGATTTTTGTCAATTCGCGAGATGTTAATTTGACCTTTTTCGAGCTTAAACAAATGAATGATGGAGTTCTAACTTGTAACCAACTAACCATAACTAAGGAAAACACCGCCTACTTTTGTATTTTATATATTTATACCTTGTAATTGAACTAACTTTGATCTGGCGAGCCAGAGGCCTGCAACAAATAAAGCCTGCTGCAAGGTGTCCCATCTTCTGGGTGAGTCTTGGTCGATCTGGGCAAGGCGCGTAGCCTGTTGAATAGACTCAGTGGGTCCTGCAACAGCCCGAAATTTGCATCCGGGTCGCCAATCTGTGAAAGCTTGACCAGGGAAAACCCTAGGGATGGCAGCAGCTGGTCTGGCCAGTCACAGTGGAAACGGAAGGTGGGGCCAGAGAGCAAGGCTGTTTGCTCATTCATGAAGTCTGCAAGGAGCACTGTGTTTGTGAGGCTGCATTTGTCCGCGATCGTTTTTAGTATTTTGATGGCGTGTAGTTGTGTGAGGTAATAGAGTATTCCCTCCAGAATCCAGACTGTGCTTTTCTTGGGCTCGAATCCTGATGACTGGAGCTTTGCGAACCAATCGTCTTCTGCCAGGTCAGCTGCCAATCGTGTCAGTGATTTGGCCATCATGATTGGACGGTGATGGTGATTGGCTGCTGCTGCTGCTGCTGCTTCTTCTATTATGGAGGCTTTTGCTTGTAGAATCTCGGGGAAGTCGACTTCGAAAACATTACTGTCTTTCAAGCAGCTCAAGCGGTATGACCGTGCGTCCATTCCTGCCGGTCGGAGGTAAATTTTCGAAATGAATTAGAATTTAGAATAATTATTTGTTGTAATGCTATCTAGATTTGTTAAGTGAGTTTGAAATGTATGTTTGAAGGGTGTTGGTTCTGTCTGTAGATAGTCTTACTTCTTGTTGTCTTGGACAATATGGATTTCTTTTTTTTCATGACTCAGGTCAGATTGGAGACCATTTTCTGCTATAAATGTAAGGGATAATTACAAATATCACATTTGAGGTTTGAGCTAATTGCAGAAAAACCCAGCTAACTTTCAAAATTACAAAAATGCCCCAGAGGTTTGGTTCAGGGTTGATGATGTTAAGGAAGCGTATAGCAATTTTTCTTATGAACGTGATTTTGCTTATCAAGGGGGTTAAATGCGACAATGAGATGCAACTTCTCGTGGGTACTTCTTGTAATTATGAAAGTCAGGTGGGTATTTTTGTTTTTGTTTTTAACTAGGTAGATCTTAAGGTTATTTTCTATAATATACTCCAAACATAATGCAATGCTGGTGTTTGGGCTTCTTTGCGTTTAGCCAAAAGAGTAGAGGAATGGTATACGGGGAATGAGATGGAGACTAATCTTTCGAGCATTTTTTAATTTTAAAGATTGTATCAAGTAACAACTTCTGTTGCCAACAAAAACGTCGTGATGATTATAGATCTATTTGAGTAATCAGTGTCTCTTCTGTTGCATATGGTTAAACTTTAAGATTGAAAGCTGTGAAGTTTTCAAAAATATGCAAAATTCGACTAGAAAAGGTTCCAATGATAAATGTCATATGTCGAAGGAGCGTGGAAGGAAAAAAACAGCTAAGATCTGAGCTTACTGGGCAGTATTTTGCCTAGTTGTTGATTACAAATGTATATCCCCTATATGACTTGCTTTTACAAATGTATATCCCCTATATGACTACCTTGATCTTTATAATTGTCTAAATTATTTATTTTTCATCAAACTACCTTGATCTTTATAATTGTCTAAATTATTTATTTTCTTGATAAAATTACAAATTTACTTCTTGAGATCTTAACCATCGCTTTCATATCAGACTCCTCCTCATCTCATGTCAGATTGTCAGGTTAAACTAAAGGCGACGTGTTTGTCGACACACGGTAATTTCTTGGAGGTCATATCTCTTGAATGTTCTGGAACTTCTATATTTTTTTTTTCTTGTCTGATTTTTGGAGAAATCAATCAATCACCTCTTGCCAAGTGTAAAAAAAAAAAAAAAAACTCTCTTTTCAAATGAGAAAAGCTTATGAGCTACAAATGTACAGCCAGCCACTTACCTGCACCGAGTAGAACAACCTGCGCCCCACAACCGTCCGGCGAACTCAGAGCCTGCTCAAGTTTCGAGTCGAACCAAAGTGTCCGGACGGCAAGAATCACCCCGGAGATCTCCCGTGCATTGTTGAGCCGGTCCCTCTTGATCTTCTCGTGAGTGGCTCTGAGGTGGCTCTCGCCTGCAAACAGCTCGGCTAAGGGGTCGTTGATCACCCGCCGCCACAATGCCCGCCCGGCCGCCGTCTGGCAGGCCGACCTCCGGGCCGGGTCCCACTCGGTCTCGATGGCCGCATGTAGGGCTCTCAGCGTGCTGCTGCTCAACAACTCAGGTAACTCGAGTTCTGTCCCGGGCCCGTTTTCACAATTCGTCATTTCTTTTGTTTTGATATTTTCTTATCTCGTTTTACTCTTTGATCGAGCTATGAGGGGAAAAAAATAATGAAAAGGGATGAATGAGTTATATACACTCAATATATAAGCTGGTTAGAACTTTGGTAGGGATAAGAAAAGGAGAGCCACAAAACTGGGTGATCAAGTGCATATCTAGAAATTTAAAATCTCATTTATTTTTGTTTTTTGGAAGGGAAAAGAGAAGGTAATGAGAGAGCCCACGATCACCACCAATTCATATCCTCTCCTTCTATATATGAAAAGGTCCTCCTCTTTCTCTTTCTTTCTTTTTATTCCTCTTCTCTAAGACTATTTCTCTATGTGGGTCCCTATGTCTTTATAGCTACGTACAATTTGTTAGGCCAAAAAAAATACACTCCTTAGAGTCATTTTAATGTCCACGTCCTCTCATACAGACCTCAAATGAAGCACCCGTTTTGTGGTGTTTAAAAAGTAAAAACAGGTCATGAGGTTAAACTCGAGGCTACTCACTATATATATAAAAGGTTCAACCCTTACTGACTTCGGCTCACACATGAATCCGAATCGTCGAATCAACACATGCTTGTGTGTGTGTGTGTGATCTGACGGTTGGGATCACTGGGTGGGCAGTGCCCGCACGTGTAGTGTCGAACGTTTCCTATTTATATATATTTATAGTTTCATATAAATTTTCAGGTGTATTTGGAAGTGAAATTTTGAGTTTGAGATTGATATGTGTTGATTGATAGTATAGCATGGTGAAGCTAATTGAATCCAAAAGAATAAAAACTAAGAAAACTGAAGTGGCTGAAATTGAATTTCACCTGGATAATGTGTGGTTCATGCTGGCTCCCACTTTTGCGTTTGTTTTTTCTGTGCCGTGCATGGTACTTCTGTTGCCGTTCTAGTCATCTTAGGAGGTGGCCACGGGCCACCCGTCACGAATTTTAACCGGGCGGAGTCAGGGCCATGTTCAGCCCGGCCCGGTATTTTTTTTGGGTCTAGGTCTTAGACCCGGGTCGGGCCCGGCTTGGCGAGGCCGGCACAACTCACAAGCCTAGGTCCGTGCTAGTTCCGGGTGTCTATCCGGTGGCCCGCCAAGCCACGTAGGGCCCGGGCGTGGCCCCGTTTTGGCCATGTCTCATCTTTCACATGATTTCAGGTGTGTTTTTTTCTTATTTTTTTTATTTAATATTATATTTTGTCCGTTTGTTTTTTGCTTTCATATGTGCAATCCGCCAATCTGTGTATTGGGTTCGAGCACTTGTCATTTGATTTGAAGTTTGAACACAAGACAGGTCATAAATAGGATTAGAAAATTTGGTGGCATTTCTGAAATTATTGTTATCGGGTGGCACGTGAATGTCACAAAAAATTACTTAGGAAGGATTGAAGAAAACACAAACAGAAACAAAGTGGATACACATAATTACTCAAGAAAGAAAGATTGAAGATAGAAAACACAAAACACATATAAAAGGAAATTTTGAAATAAATTTTGCCCTATATCAATACACATACTAGAGTTCTAAATGAACCGAACGTTCGCGAACAAAAGCTCGTTCGAGCTAATTCGTGTTCGGCAAAAGCTCGTTGGTTTGTTAATCGAGCCGAGTTCGAACCGAAAATTAGGCTCGTTTAATAATCGAACGAACACGAGCTCGTTCGTGAACGTTCGATTATATTCGCGAACATTATTTTAATATAATTTTATTTTATTTTTTATATATTTTCATAATATTTTTAATAAAAAATCTAAAATTTAATATCATTTAATTTATTTTTTATATATTTACATAATATTTTTAATAAAAAATCTAAAATATAAAAAAAAATATTTTTATTTTATTCTTTGATTTTCGGGTTCAAACGAACAAATTTCGAGTTAATCACACGTAGTTAAAAGGTCTATGTATTAAATTAATCGAACACGAACGAGTTCGAACTTTGACGAACAATTAAACGAACGAACTCGAACACGATTTTTTGCTCGAAAAATAAAAGAACGAACACGAAAACTGTTCGAACGTAAACGAATACGAGCTCGAACAACCCAAGCTTGGTTCAGTTCGGTTCGACACTACCCATACCCACATTAATAGCAAATTGTGATTGGAAGGTGTCTTTAGAATTGCCCAATGAAATAGAGTGGGCCCCCTTGTTTTTGTTTTGCTGATTGATCAAAATGAATGGTTCTCCCTCTCCCTGCCAAAACATAACAACTGATTGCCTAATCTCAAATAACTTGGAATCTTTTACTTCATTCCAGTTCCCACTACTCTTTAGCTACCAAGATCTCTCTCCTCTCGCTCCCCCACACACACACTCGCACACACACACACACAGATTACAATTTCCAAAACCAAATTTTTTAAAAAAATAATTAAAAAAAATGGCAGAGGTGGAGGAGGAGGAGGCAGCAATGGAAGACCAAGACCCACCTCTGCAGCCACAGCCCCACCGCAAATTCCTCCGGTCGAAAACCGTCCCTTCCATGCCGGCGATCCGACCCGACTCCCCCTCCGACCCGCCCCCCTTCTCCTCCTCCTCCTCCTCGTCCGTCCGACAGGCGGCCCTCCTCCTCCTTGTCTACCTCGTCCTCGGCGTCTCCATCTACTCGTCCTTCCCGGACCAATTCTCGGGCTCCGAGACCCACCCGGCCATCGACGGCCTCTACTTTTGCATCGTCACCATGTGCACCATCGGCTACGGCGACATCGCCCCGTCCACCCCTGCCGCCAAGGCCTTCGCCTGCGCCTTCGTGCTCGTCGGCTTCGGCTTCGTCCACGTCCTCCTCACCCGCGCCGTCGTCGGCCGCGTCGTCGAGCTGCACGAGCGCATGATCCTCCGCGCCGCGGCCCACAACACCTACGTCGTGGACCCCGATAAGGGGGGTCGGTTGCGGATCCGGCTTAGGGTCGGGCTGGCAGTCGGGTCCGTGGTCGGGTGCGTCGGGGTCGGTGCTGGGGCCCTCCGGTGGGCGGAGGGTCTCGGTTGGGTCGACTCTGTCTACCTGTCGGTCGTCTCGGTGACGACCGTGGGGTACGGTGACAGGGCTTTCGCGACCGCAGGCGGGAGGGCGTTTGCGTCTTTTTGGCTCCTGTTCTCTACTCTAGCTGTCGGGAGGGCGTTTCTGTACCTCGCGGAGGCGCGGGTTGACAAGAGGCACCGCCAGGTTGCGAAGTGGGTGCTCGGTCGGGGGATCACGGTTCGCGACGTGCTCGACGCCGGCGCGATTAACGGCGGGGTCCACGTCGAGCGGGGACGGTTTTTTATAAGCAAATCGGAGTATGTGATCTACAAGCTCAAGGAGATGGGGAAGATTAGTGAGAAAGATGTCGTGCAGATCAGCGACCGGTTCAACCGTCTCGACCGAGCCAATTCGGGCAAGATTACGCTGGCTCATTTGTCCGACGCTCGTCGATTGTAGGTCAACTTAATCTTAACATTGATTGAGTATGAGAATAACTTAGAGCAAGAAAAAGAAGTTCGTAGCTGGTGTCTAGTGACAAAACTCTTTGTTATGAGCAGCCTGAGATGCTTTATTGTTGGTTGCTCACTGGTTAAATTGTACAACCAAAGGGTTTCGATTTCAAGCTTCGTTGTGTGTTATTCCTTATTATTAGATTAGATAGCCTTATTGGTTTAAGGAGAATAATTTAAAGGTTGCATTCTGCTAAGTAAGGTGTAATTCGTCTAACTGTTTTGGGTTTCATTCAGAAAAAAGGCTTCAAACACTTGATGAGTGTCAATTTTACTTAATACAGTCAAGATATATTGAGGGCAAATATGTACTCTTGGCCAACAGATTACCCCTTTGTTTACCTCTTGCGAAGAACATAATTTTGATATATTTCAATAAGTGAATTTTTTTTAATGCAATTTTTTTTTTTTTTTTAAATTTGTTATTCATGGACAAATTCAATTACTAACAGTAAAAATAATAATGATATAAAAAGTCTTCCTACATCTCTATTCAATTTTTAGTTAGCAAGGCGGTTAGTAATAATAACTTGCATCTTCCAACACCACTAACTTTCATTTGCGTATCACACAATACACAATTAGACATAAGCTAACACCTTTTGCAATATTTTATTTTTTAAAGGAAATGAAAAACCTTTTTTTTTTTTTTGAATTCAAAAAGTTATTATAATTAATCAGACTTCCAAAACATAATTATAATGTCTCATGAACACATTGAAAAATGCTTGAATTTTCTCCTAATTAATCTTTTTTTTTTCGAAACAATAGGAATTCTCATTAAAAGAAAAACAGATTGCAATGTGGCGGATTAACTAATCCGAATACAAAACTAATGGAGGAACACTTGCAAAAAGTGCCCTAGAACCCAAACAACAAGACTAACAAGGAAAATAGGCAAAGTTGATCACTCGACACCTATTTCCTAAGCCACATAGCAAAACCCACGAAACAAAGAAACTAGAAGCATTTGTTGAAAACTGAACAACCGAACCTAATCAACAAAAGCAGACCAGCATTAACCCAAAGAAACCTTGCGATATTTGAATTCCGACCATTCCCGCCAAGCGCCGTCCACGATCAATTTCTCCGATATCCATTCTTTTCGAAAAACTCAGAGATTACGGGCCTTCCACAGCCACCAAAGAATGTACGTTGAGAGTTGGATACGGGATTCCGAGATTTCAGTTTTATTGAGCTCCGAGATTCTCCACCACCAATCATTGAAGGACCCCGATCTTTGGCTGCAAAAGTCCCATTTGAGAACAGAAAGTTTCCAGACCTGAGAGGCTCGTCTGCAATGGAATAAGGTATGGACAATGCTTTCTTTTTAATATTCTCCTAATTAATTAATATTCATCACAATTAGGGCTGCAAACGAGCCGAGTCGAGTTGAGCATTGACCTTATCGAGCAGGATTGAATTTTTTTTTTTTTTTTTTTTGCTGCTCGAGCTCGAGCTCGAGCTCGAGCTCGACTTGATAAAAAAATACAAGAGCTCGAGCTCGGCTCGACTCGAATTCAAAATGCTCGAGCTCGGCTCGAGTTCGGTTCGAATTTTTTCAAGCAATTTTGTAAAATAACCATTCAATACATATATATACAAGGGTATTTTAGTAATTTCAGATTTCGACAATGTAAAATAGAGGCTCAAGTTCGGTCAAACTCAAACTTGAGCCGAGCTTTGACTCGAGCGCTCGCGAGCGGCTCGCGAGCTGCTCGACTCGTTTCACAATTCAAACATGTATAGCAAAAAGACACATTCGCTTTAAACATGTGGAGACAAAATGTTGAAATTTTTCTTTCTTTTTTATTAAGCTTTATTTATTCCATCACAATCACGGGTTTATGATATCGATTTTAATCATTTTTTACTTTTTTTTTTTCTCAATGTTGATTCTTGTTTCAACATCAATCATTAATCTTTAAATTCATGAAAAAAACAGATTTTTCTGAAAAAAAAAATCGTGCTCTTTTGCGCTTCAAAAATTCCTGGTCTTGGGATCTTTCCTTCAATGCAACACTTTTTCATTTAGAACTTCACCCTCTTTGCTGCAACCCCATTTTTCCTCCTTCCATTTTTGCTACAGATTAAGTTAAATCCTTCATAATATTTACATTTACTGTATTTCTTTTGCTATTTTAGCTGCAAACTGGGCATGGCTATAGCAAGATTTGGGGGCCAAGTGAAGCGCTCTTACCAGTCATATGGGCTCTATGCAAAGCTGTCCGTAGTTGTAATCATGGGCTTGTGCTTCGTGTTCGTGTGGTCTGTTTTCTCCAGTTTTTCAGTGACCTCCCAAAGGAGCACCTTTGATGATATAGCTGAGAAAGTGCCAGCATCAAATACTAAGGTTAGCGGCTCTCAACTGCATCCTAACCAGAAAGATCGAGAAAAGGTTCAAGAAAGTGATGAACAGAGATTTAACTCTAATTTGAATGAAAAAGAGAAAGAAATCGTTAATGGGTCTTCTCCATTGAGAACTATGAAAAACCCAGAAAAGGTGAGTGATGAAACTGAGGGGAAAGGTAGTGGTGCCGATTTGGAATTATCGAAAAAAGGGGGTGAAATAGATAAAAATCAAGAAAGTAGAGGATCTGAGGAGGGTGAAGGTGTTAAAGAGAAGGAAGATGATGAAGGGGATGAAAGAGAAGGTCAAAATGTGGATAATGAGAAAGATAATAATGGGGAATTGGATGCTGATTTGGTGAATAAGGAAGATTTGGATGAAAATATTGTTGGTGAGGATAATGGAAACTCGAAAAGCACAAAGACAAAGAAGCTTGGCCCGTTGTTCGAGCCGAGGAAGCAGTATACTTGGAAATTGTGCAATACGAGGAGCAAACACAACTACATTCCGTGCATAGACATTGAAAGTGCTGCTGGGAGGTCACAGAGTTATCGGCACCATGAGAGGAGCTGTCCTAAATCGGCTGTGGTTTGTCTCGTTCCTCTTCCTCGTGACGGTTATGAGACCCCGTTGAAATGGCCCGAAAGCAAATTTAAGGTATATCTATCTTGATACCGATCTTTTTTCATTTTTTTTTTTCAGTTTTGTTTATTTGGATTATATGTATTGGTTAATTCTGAGTTTCTTGCAGATATTGTACAAAAACGTTGCGCATCCTAAATTAGCTGCATATGTTAAGACACAAGATTGGTTGGTACAATCTAAGGAGTATATTACTTTCCCCCACGATCAGTCTGTACTCAAGGGTGGGGTTCAGCACTATCTAGAATCCATAGAAGAAGTGAGTCATTCTCCTTAAAATTGTGTAATAGAAGATAATTTTTCATCTCACGTGTATACCTTCTGGATTTGTTTTTGTGCGTGTGTGTGTGTTTGTGTGTGTGTGTCTGTGTTATTATCTTCAATGAATTCAACTATGAGTTGTTCCAAATATAGTAAATTGTTTAATGCTTTGCGTATTTTCTGTAGTCTACTATTTTATGTTATTATGCTTATTTGGTCCTCAAAATTAGACCTTTTGCCATCCTTTTGGAACAAGCACAAATTTTCACATCTATTTTGATATTTGGGAGTTTCATTAGATGGCACCGGATATCGAGTGGGGAAAGAACATACGTGTTGTTCTTGATGTGGGATGTAAAGACTCGAGCTTTGTGGCTACTCTACTCGAAAAGGATGTTTTAACTCTCACACTCGCCTTGAAAGATGACTTAGTGGACTTGGGACAAATTGCCCTCGAGCGTGGCTTTCCTCTGGTGGTTAGCCCTTTTGCAAGCCGAAGGCTTCCTTTTCCCAGTGGAGTCTTTGATGCTATTCACTGTGGTGGCTGCAGTGTCTCTTGGCACTCAAATGGTCAAGTGTCTTTATATATATATATACTGTGGTGGTTAGTCCACTCTAATGCATCTTTGTTTATCTTTTGGAATATACTGATTTTCAGGCGGTAAGCTTATTCTCGAAATGAATAGAATATTGAGGCCCGGTGGGTATTTCATCTTCTCAACTAAGCATAACAGTATCGAAGCTGAAGAAGGTGTGCAGTGTGCTCCTCTTAATTAAAAATCTATCTTGTGCATTTTTCTTATTTATTTATTTATTTTTTATTTTTTTGAATACTTAACTATTTTATATTTATATATACCCCTTAATGTTCCTTTTTTCCAGCATTCTCCAAGCTGACTTCATCGATTTGTTGGAACATCCTGGCTGATAAAACTGATGAGTTAAGTGATGTTGGTGTGAAGATATATCAAAAGCCCGAAAAAAACGAAATATATGAACTAAGACGAAAAAGGGACCCACCTCTCTGTAAAGAGAATGAGAACCCAGATGCTGCCTGGTGAGTACTAATAACAAGTTAACAACACAAAAATCACATCATTCATTAGTTCTCATCCTTCTCCTTTGCTTGTTATGTCATGTCCAGTTTCCTTTAAAAATATCAATAAATAACTTTGAAGGAAAGTTGGTTGTTCTGTCTGTAAACTTTAAAATAATTAAGAAATAATGACATATACAGCTTTATCTATGGGAAAATTTTATTTGTGTTAGGTCACGTTCAATCTTTAGCAATGGGAAAATTTTATTTACTTCTGTTCCAATCACATTAGAGTGTTCTCTGTCAGCTCTATTGATAATACTTAGTGATAATTTGCAAGAATGTTTTTTTTTTTTTTTTTAATATTTTTCAGGTATGTTCAGTTGAAAACATGCATTCATCCGATACCCGAAGCCATCGAGCAACGTGGGACCGAGTGGCCTGCAGAATGGCCAAAGAGGCTTTACACATTCCCCGACTGGATGAGCAATAACCGAGAGAAATTGATTGCTGATAGTGATCACTGGAAAGCTATTGTGAACAACTCGTATCTAATAGGAATAGGCATTGATTGGTCAACGATCAGGAATGTAATGGACATGAAAGCCATAGATGGAGGGTAAGCTCTTCTAATTAGTTTTTTCAATTATTCTACCTGCAGAATATGAATAATTTGGAGTAAGATGTTGAGGATAAAATTATAAAATAGTTAACCATTTTTCTTTTCTTTTTTTTTTAAATATTTACTGCTTAATCGAGCAAACCGTTAATTATCCTCTGATTGACTTAATTGGAGATCACATAAACGAGAAAATCGAGGGAAAAAAGTTACTTCTTATAAGAACCCAATTCTCAGAAGTGAACTTTTTTTTTTAATTTTATTTTATTTTATTTTATTTTTTTTCCCTTTTTTGAGTAAACATGGAGGGCACATTAATTTTAGGTTCGTCTTTTCTTATACTCGTAAAGTAATAACATTCGTAAAGGAACCGAGTCTAATTTCGTAAAGGAACCGAGTCTAATTTCCAATGTGTCTGGTAATTGATCTATTCGAATTGTTTTCGAATATGCATCTAAACCACTAGATAACTAATTTTTTAAATGATTCAATTGTGTCCCTCAGCGGCTATTTTGCACCTTATTTATTTCATTAGAAATTTTTTGTGATTCTGATTTTATATTTCCATAATAAGGCTACTGTATAAAGTTTCATTGGGGGCTCTTATAATCGATAGTCCAGCTTCATTTTTTTCATAATTTATTGATTTTTTTTTTTTCATGATACTTTTTACAGATTTGCAGCTGCACTTTCCGAGCAGAAAATCTGGGTTATGAACGTTGTTCCTGTTCATGCGCCCGACACGCTTCCCATAATTTTCGAGCGTGGGCTTATTGGTGTTTACCATGACTGGTGTGAACCTTTCGGTACATATCCAAGAACTTACGACCTTTTGCATGCAGATCATCTCTTCTCAAGGCTTAAGAACAGGTTAATTTGAGATAAAAACAATTCTTGAATTTCGTTTATTTCCCTGATCGATCGATCTTCAGCTACTACTGGAAACATGTTTTACAAAGACATATATATTACATTCAAGCTAAAATTTACCACATGATCCTCTTTTTTACCATTTCTGATAAAAAAGAAAAACAATATTTTTGTATTGCTACATTTTATTTGTTGACCTTTTCACTATATCTTATACTCGATTTTTTTTTTCTTTGATCCATTTTCAGATGTAAGCAGCCCATTGTAGTGATTGTTGAGATGGACCGCATATTAAGGCCCGGCGGATGGGCAATTATTCGCGACAAAGTAGAAATTCTTAATCCTCTCGAAGAAATTCTGAAAAGCCTCCATTGGGAGATTCGGATGACATTCTCACAAAATCAAGAAGGTATACTCTGCGCCAGAAAAACCATGTGGCGACCCTAAATTCGCCTTTTATTTCGCCCGACACTGTACATTTTCAGAGTGCCTTTTTAGCACATTCTAATCGAGCCGAGTCGAGTCCCACACCAATTTTGCAATTAACATCGACCCTCAGCTTTTACTAGCCTTTTTGTTTTTGTTTCTCTTTTTCCCTGTTGTATAACTAATTTATAGTAATGGCTCGAGATTATTGACGATCAAAAATTTTCTCTGTATTCATATCATATTCATGGAATCACACACTTTTTTTTTTTT